GGAAATTTTATTCTGACGCATAATAATTTTTATCTAGACAACAACGAAAATTCTAGAACGTCGAATAAAATTTCTCTAGCGTCGAATAAAAATAGATCACGATCTATTAATTTTAACTAAATTTCGGGATAGAAATGAGCAAACGATGACTCTGGATACACTTTTATAGAACCGTAGGATAATTTTTATCAAAAATTTCTCTCCGCGTATGGAAGCGCATCGGATGACACCAGTAATAAATCTAGGAATGAGTACAACGAATTGGCAGTTGAGTCAATATTACCCCCTCCCGCCCCCATTTTTTATCGTAACGATTTTAGAGTTGAACAGCTTGGTTGCCTTCATGTTCCACTTATGGAAGAATAATGGTAGAATGATAAATCGTTTTTGCACCGGGAAAAATGAGAGCCAGTATAAACTACAAAATGCCCTTCGTATCCCCATCGCTCTTAGCTTTGATGTAGTCGTTTCCACTGTCAGTTATTCTCGTTTTCTCTTCTATTCTTGCTCCCACTCCGCGCCTTCCTCACTCGTTTATAAGATGAGAAACTTTCAGAGAAAACAGAATTATTCCCTCTCGTGTTGGACGAGGGAGCGCAGGGGTTGAGGTGTTTTTCTTCCGCATGATGCAACAAAAGCGTTTAAGACACCACGCTAAAAGGATTTCAATGGCGTTTAGATAAATGGAGGCTGTGATAACCGGCCCAGTTCCATTTCCGGGATTTTTGATGGAATCCAGGGACAGTTAACGGGGGATGCCGGATGAACGAGGTTGGAATTCTTTTCAGAGACTCTTGATGGATGTCCGGCGACAAAGAGTCAGGGGGAACAGCTGGGATTCTCAGCAATAATAATAATAATAACAATAATAATAGCTCATCTGTGAAATGGTTATTTTGGGAATTGATATCCCCATCTATTGATCTGAAATTTCGTCTAGGTTTACTCAAAGGAAAAAAATATTGTGGACATGACACCGACGCAGATTGTAAACGTTGCAGCATCCATTTTTGAACTGTTTTCAATCTGCAGAATAAAAATGTTGACACTGTTAAAAAATTTCTTGTTTTAACATTGTCCAGTGGGGTCTAGCAGCCCAAAAAAACATTCATATCTTGTCTGACATCTCTGCTACAAACTCTGGTTTTCAACTCGGGCTTTCAATTAAAACCCTGATGAATATAATTTTGATTCAAACAAAGTTTATTCAATTCAAATAAACCATTGCTCTGGATATATTCAGTAGAATACTCTCAATTAAAATATAATTCTCATGTCCCATGAATAATCAAATAATGTCCCATAACTCCATTGACTTCCCCACTTCATTCCTCCAACGTCAATTGAGTGGGGGTACTGAGCATTGTAAACAGAGCCATTGAAAATGTTCCTGACATCTCTCGCAGCAGCGAATCAACCCTTCATCCCACAATCAATTCGCGCGTTACAGAAATAAAAAAAAAGTGAGTGAAAAAAATTGAACGAGAAGAATTGTCATTGCGAATTCATCAAAAGGCATTTCTCACTGTCGGGGTGATTGAAATTTTTCCCACTCTGAATGCAAAAAAATGGGTTGGGGAGAATAAATAAAATTGAAAAGCTAGCTGCGAGAGTAAAAATAGAGGCACCGGGGAAAAAGCTGGATCCTGACGATTTAGGATGGACGACAGGTCCCTGGGGACAGTTGTAAATCATGCGAAAATTCAAAGCCACATAAATCAATGCCCCGGGCTATGGTCTGTTTATCCTCGCTGCATAGAGAGACTTCATAAACTCTTGCGCTGCATATTTCATTTTAAACATTCGCGTGGTATTTTCAACATCGTTCGTTCAATCGCTCTGTGTAGGAATAGGGGTGAAATTGAAATTAGCAAGTGGGCAATCGCTTTGCGATGTTTTTTCCATTTTGTGTGCATTCTTTGGTAGAGGAACTCTGGAAAAACGGATTGAATATCTTGTTTTGCATAATAATTTGGGGCATTCATACGTGCACCACGGGATTAATCGATTGGAAATAAAAATTTGAGGAATTTCAATATTTGAATGAAGAGGGGAAAACTATTTTCACAGTGAAGAAACGCGTGTGAAATCCTTATGAATTTATAATTGTAATTGTTTAAACAGTTGAAATTCTTTTCTCTTTGGAATTAAATCGATTTCTGATTTTTAATTAGTTTCAGGGTAGAAAAATGTTTGTTCATGAATTATTTCTCAAATAAGTAGACTTCCTTTTAACAATATAATAATTGCAAGTTAATATTAAAATAATTGCACATTTTGATTAGAATCTAGACTAACCTAGGACCAACAGAGGTTAAATGGAAGTTTAAGGAAATGTTGAGTTTCAATAAAGAAATTTATGAGTAATGTAAACTATTGATAAATTTCAGTTGAAGTTGTCCACACACTTGTGAGAAATTTTTATCCCGCGGCAATTTCACTGAAAGTGAATTTCAAAATTCACAATTATTAGATGAAAAAATGAATGGAAACTATAAATTCGATTTAATTATTCTCTGGAAATTAATAGAAAGCCGGAAAACTTTGATGAATATAATTTTAAATTTTTAATCAATTGAAAAATCAAATAAGTTGAGAAAGTTTCGTTTCCGACTGCTCAAAGTTGTGAAATCCATTTTAATTTTTGGTAAAAATTGGAATTTCATGATTTTTTCACCTAAATCTAATTAAATATAATGCAATTATAATTTTCCCTCCAGGAGTGCAGTTGAATGCTTGAAGAAACCATATCCGTGGAATAACGTATCCCTCCGCTGATATTATCCTCCAGAAAGACATCAAACTTTGATTCAATTCGGATTACACAGCGAGTGAAGAAAAAAAACATTTGTCATGATTGAACCCAGCATCTGATTGAAATTTCCGAGAGGAGCCCGCATATCGTTGCAATCCACTCAGCTGGGTTGAAGTAAAAAGCGAGGCAGGCGCAAAGAGAAGTACAAGAATAGTAGAGAGCAGCCCTGCTCCTTGATTCCTTCATCCACTCCGGATGCGCCCTCCAGCATCTCTCGGATCGAGTCCCTCACGGTCGCTCTTGCGGAAGAACAGGGAGTAGATCAGAAAGGGAGAAAAACCCGGAAAGTAAAGACCAGAACTACGTCGGACAGCCGACAAACGCGGGCGACAAAGAGCCTGCGAACCCGTTCTTTTTCGCCTTGTCCAACTTTCAAAGAACTTTATCCGCGACTGGTGTGCATCGGGAACTACCTCTGTACATGCTCGTCTCTACCAGAATCTCCTATCCTCTTCACTGATAGAATGATTCATTTATTCCAAACGAGATTCGTTAACTATTAACGAGTGGTAGAATTGAATATGACCAAATGAATATTCGTTAATAGTTAACGAATGGTTCACTTGAATGGCGAAAGTCAAGTCAAACAAGGCTCCTCAAATATACATTCGTTAACTATTAACGAATGAACATTTGGTGGGACCGAATAGACCCTAACCTCCAACCAAAATCCATTCGTTAACAATAACTAATCCGTTCTATCAGTGTTCTCATCCTCTTGGCATACCTCACTTTTGAGTTTGCCACACGTCACTGGGAGATTTTTTTTCCCCCAAAGCTACACGGAGAGAAATAGTCTGTAAAAATTCCGGAACAATTCACGTAATCCGCAATGGAGAATCGCTTTGCGGCAATTTTTACAGGAATGGAAGAGAAGAAATCTGAAACGCTCAGTGAATTCTCAGGTTCTCCACCGAACAAATTACGAAGTTGTCACGTAATTTTTCCCGAAGAAGTAAGATCGGTTACATTGACATACTTTAGGGTGATTTTAAGTGTAATTTACGAATCCGAAATCGTAAATGGCCGCGTTTATGTCATCGTAATTTACCGCGATATTGAGCGTAACTTACGCTTCAACTTGCACGCTTCAAACTGTAATAAAAAACGACTTCTCAAACGTAACTGACAATCAGGTTCTCTTGCATGAAGAACCCCATGAAATTTTTCATTTTCCGGCTAATAAAAATGCCGAGAACAATTATCTTCAGACCCTTCACCCTCATTACCACAACTCATCCAGTCAATACCAACAGCCAACAGCTTAAATCCCAACAATTCACCCTCAATACCATTTTAATGATTCAAATCGTTTCCTCAAAGGTCGAAACATTAACAACTGCTTTAAACCTCATTATTTTCCTTGAATTTACGGTTCCCTCCCACTTCGCCCACTCAATTCATTAAAAATCTTCCCCCATTCATGCCCACATTTCCATCCTTTCATAACTGAAGTCCTCCACATTTACAATGTAACCAGAAAACTACTCTAAAAATAAATAAAATTCCCCTAGTTACGACGAATAATTGCATACGATTAGTGAAAATTCACACGTAAATATTATTATTCAAAAGCCAAAAAAATTTCTAACAGTAGATTATTCTCACCCTCTTTGCAAAACATTATATACCACACTATCTTAATTATCCAATAATCGCATATTAAAATTAAACAGCTGAAGTAAATAAATAAATAAACAAATGGGGAACACTTATTTTTTCGAAATTCCGTTCAACGCACTTTACAAATAATAATAATAATAATAATAATAATAATAATAATAATAATAATAATAATAATAATAATCTCATTTACGATTAAAAAAAAATAACAATTTTAGAGTGCATTTTCTCCTAAACTAACAAATTTTCCATAATCAACAACACTGTTACAGTAAAATAAATCTCTTTCACTTCTCATTCCAGAAGCAATTCACTTTCAATAGCATTTTAATGATTTAAATTGTTTCCTCGGTGATTAAAACATTAACGACTCCTTTAAAACGGTTTATTTCGTTTGAATTTACGATCTCCTTCTACTCCACCCCCTCAATCAACTGGAGGTCCTCCTCCGTAGCATCGGAACCCCCTCCGAACATTTTCAATCTTTCTGAATTAAAGTCCTAAAATTTTACAATACTGGAGTAAAAACTACTCTAAAAACAAATAAAATGCCTCTACTTACGACAAATGAGCGTGTGTGATTAGCGTGCCTGCACCTCTCGATAATAAATCAGCGTCACCAGGGGCTGATCTTTCATTTTAAACTTTACCATAATCGCGATAAAGCTGTTGATAACCGCCACTCGTTATGTCCACGCGTAGCGATCAGCTCATGAAACTCGATCATGTGTTATCGAGGTGCTAAATAAATAAAAGCCCTGCACCCGTTCTAGCTATTCCGTCTCCATAAATTTTCGTCACTGGTGGTCACTCCATCGGCAGCTCCCCGGAATTGACTCGGCTGTTGTTTAAATTGAATTGACTAATTTACAAAATGTTAATCTTCATTTTTTTTGGTGTGTTGTTACAGTTTTTTTGTTGTCGCTATGGAAATTTCCTCTCGGCAATTTTTTTTTTTTGGTTTTCGTTCTCTGATTGGACTATCGGGACGAGTGAATTATGTCGCGGTAAGTTAATGCAAAGGGGAAGGGTCGGGATTTTTAATTCGTTTGCCGAGCCACACGTGGAGCGGCCGTGTGCGTACTACGTGCGTGGGCGGTAGCGTACTACTGATGAGAGACAGTCGTCAGGCCGTCGACGTCGTGCAGAGGCAGCACCGGGTACTCAACACACATCCTTCTTCGCGCCTCCGCACAACAGTGCACGGAGAGCCAAGTTGAGAGCATCCCACAGCGCGCAGGAGCTCACTCTATAGCTGTTTGTACCCTCGTTCGGCTAAGGACACCCTGGGATTTTTAGTTCTTAAGAAAGCCGAAATTTCTGGCACTACGCCAGCAGTTTTGACGGCCGGGTAATGATGTTATGAAGTTTCAGTTCTGAGAATATTCTCCTTTCTTTTTTTGGGGGGTTCTGAGGGCGAGGGGAAGAAAGGGGGGAGTGGGGGGGGGCTGCAGTGAGGGTTTTATGCAAATAATGCAATTATCGGGAATGTGGAGCGGAAATTGAGAGTGATAGATGCGGTATTGGAGAGCTGGAGACATTTCTGGTTTACGGGTGTGGTTGACAAACGTTTTAGGCGGTTAGCAGTTGAATTATTGGGGAATTTTTGGGGAATTAATGGGGGAGGATACATTGGAGGAAATTTTTTGAAATTTCATGGAAGATATTGTAGGAAATTTCAGGAGTGTGACATTGAATCGAATTTAGAGAGAAAATGGTTATGGAATTTTACGTTTGAAGTAGAATTCACGGAAATTCATGAATTTCTAGTGAAACATGAATGTTCAGAAACAAAATGACGTGAATTTTCAATTTTTCCCTGAATTTTCCTGCACGGAGAGCAATATTCAGTAATAATGACGGAACAATTCACGTCATCCGCAATGGGGAATCGTTTTCCGGAAATTTTTATAAGACTGGAAGAGGAGAAATCTGAAACGTTCGGTGAATTTTCAGGTTCATCGCCGAACAAAGCACGAAATTGTCGCGTAATTTTTCCCGAAGAAGTAAAGTCTTACGGAAATTTGCCGACTTATTATGCCTCCAAAATCAAAAATCCTTGAACGTTCAACAATTTTTATGAAGTTGGTGAGTTATTTCTACGTTCCGTTCTTTAAAATTTCTCAATCGTTGGGGAAAAATTACGGAACGACTTGTTGTCCCCACAGCGGTAAGTCATCAGACGGGTGATTAATTTTTACGGAACAAATCGTAGAACTTACGTGGCGATTCGTACAATTTCAGTTCCGACTCACACTTCTTATTGAATTTTACTTCGCTCGCGGATTACGTTTCAAAACGTAATTTTCCGTTTTTTTCTGGTAATTTGTTATTGAATTTTTCTCTCCGTGTGATTTTTCAGGATTTTCACAGAATAATTGAACTGAAAAATCAAGTATTTTAGTGATTTCCAGATCGTTTAAACGGAAAATCAGTGTAATATTTGACTTTTCAATGACAGGATTTCCTGAAATTTCAGTGGAACTTGAACACGATAAAAATTCTCGGAATTTCGCACGACAAATTCAGTCGAAAATTTTAACAGTGTACCCCGCTGGACCAGTTACTGAGGACATGTCCCCTATTTTGTCATTTCTTTTCCATTGTTGATAATCCCCTCCCCCCAAAAACACGCGGAAATCCTCGAACAATCTAAGATTTTCCTAGAATCCGTCCCTGAAAAACGTGGGAAAATGCCGTAGTGGAGTCCATTTTCCCCTGACAGACAAGCAAGTGGCCTTTTCCCCTCTCGCACACAATAATCCGCCCAACGATATCCTCCCATTCGTAAAACGACGATCACTCGCCTCCCGGATGTATCTTCCACCGTCTTGAATCTTCGAGGTAGTTCTAAACTCCTATGCCAGTCTTCCACCACAGTTGGATGAAGACCCAAAGCCCCCGAACCCTGAGCACTGGCCGACAGCCAGATAATGCAGTAGAAATCGTTTCCAAGGCTCAGGGGATTCCCCCGGATTACCACCGTTGTTGATAATTCCACGGTGCAGTTGTACATTATCGATAAATCCCCTCGAGCGTTTAATTAATATTTTTTCATTACTGACTTTAATATCCTCTTGCATTATTAAAAAATTAATCTTGGTATGGCCAGGAAAAATCCCTCGAGCACTAACCTACACGGAGAGAAATTTTTGATAAAAATTATCCTACCGTTTCCTCATTTCCTCATTTCTATCCCAAAATTTAGTAAAAATTAATATATGCACGTAAATTCATAAACTAATATTTAATGAAAATGAAAATGTCAATCAAATAAAATGAAATAATCAATTAATCGCAAGTGATTTATTCAATCCAAACAGCGAATTACTACACCTAATAAGCCTTCATCCGGATCAAAAAACCTTTGTTTATAAATTCAATAGAACCATTAATGTAATGTGAACAAAATCTTCATTAAAAGTTGCGTAGATGAACCCATTCACTTTGAATTCAATCAAACCATGTCTCTGAGTACAGTTCCTCCTACAACTTCATTCGCTTACATTGTCCTCGACTTGTCCAAGAAATTTTTCAGTGGCTGCCCGAATACACTCAAAAACCCCATCAAAAATAACCCCTGAGGTGGAAAAAGTTTGAAGAGTGTAAGGGAACGCACGCACACGAAGTATCCAATTTCATTTGGCTTATGATCGTTGGATGCGAGAACGACAGAGTGAAGTCTCGACGTTGTTAACCGAGCAATAAATTGGATAGCGCACCATTTGCCCGGCCCTCATCTCTCTATACCCCCTGAAAAGTGTCTGCGAGTGGAAATAAAATAAGAGAAAAGAGATAAACGAAAAACGTTGAGATAAAAAAAACTACGAGACAGAGGATGAGGGGAACGAGGTTCGCCCAGGACGACAGGAGTCGGTGGTAGGAGTGAGAGAGGTGTTTGCGGCGAGAGAACGAGAATAAATGTTTCGCGAGGAGAGGAGCGCCTGTAATCCTATTTCAATTTTCCACTGTGGCACGTGAGGTGAATGGAATTCTATTTTTATTTCATTTTTAAAGGAAAAAATTGAGGGGCAGAGGGTGGACAGGATGACGCGAAAAAATGTAAATTCGTGTCTGTTGGGGGGGAGAAGTTTAATTAAATCAACAGTAACAGTTGTTACGGTTTTTTTATTCACCCCGGGTGATTTATGGAGGTGGGCAGGTATTAAAACAAGCCGGTTGCTGTGCATATGCTGGGAGAATGCGTTCGCAGTTTTTTGGTGTTTCTTTTAGAGAATTTGCCGGTAGTTTGCATCGGAATGGAATATGGGGGTGTTAGTGTCAGTCGCTACAAGTTAATTAGGCGAGGAGTGTGGAAAAAAATACGTTGGTGAAAATTTCTGACTGAATTTCTTAGTTATAAACGAATAAAGTGGTTTTTTTTCAGTGGACAAAGGATAATTCGAGCCGAATTCTGGTAGAATGCGTTTGAGATTGTTTTAATCTTTTTTTCAGACAATTTTCTGGTAGTTCGCTTCAGCATAAAAAATGGAGGTAATATTGTCAGCTTTTAAAACTCAATTATGCGAAACCTATTGGAATTTTTCAACTTCTCAGGGTTTTACCGGAAATTATCAACGAATAAAGGGATTTTTTCAATGGCAAAAGGATTATTCGCGCCGAATTCTGGTAGAATGCGTTTGAGATTGTTTTCATCTTTTTTTCAGACAATTTTCTGGTAGTTCGCTTCAGCATAAAAAATGGAGGTAATATTGTCAGCGTTTAAAACTCAATTATGCGAAACCTATTGGAATTTTTCAACTTCTCAGGGTTTTACCGGAAATTATCAACGAATAAAGGGATTTTTTCAATGGCAAAAGGATTATTCGCGCCGAATTCTGTAGAAAATGTGAAAGTAATGGTGGAATAGTCGGAGTCAGTTCCTGATTTTCCCGGATGAATGAACATTTCACTGCAATATCGCAGAAATTCGAAGAGACGCCAGTTTTAGTTGAAGAATTTAGTATGAAATTTCAATAAACGTGACAAAATTCACCGGCAAATTCCAACAAATAAACCTATATTTCTCATAAACAATTAAATGTTTATGTCAAATTTCACACAAAATACTAGATTCCTCTATAATTTTTATTTGAAATTCACACAACTGACTCCTGATACCTTTTTCCCTGTGAGATTTCAATTAAAATGTGATAAACTCCCCGTTATCCCAACGTGCACAGAATCCCTATTCTTTCAAACAATTAATCATAAAAAAAATCGCCAAACACCATCAACCGCGATAAAAAAATATCTTAGCAAGATAAAATTAATTAAACCTTCCGAAACACTTGTTACAATTTCTCCATCCATCCCCAAGATTTATGAAGGCAGAAAAAATGATATCTCCTGAATCTTCTCTGGGACGAATTTTTCTCGAGGAGAACGAGAGTAAATTAAATATCGCAGGGTCCTCGAACCTCAGTGATATTCTCAGTTTTAATGAAACTGGAGATGACTCAATATTTTATAGCTCGAATATTGAAATTACTGGGGGGGAAGAGGATCGTTACCGGAGACAACTCTCTTGAGAGAGAGTTGCCCATCTCAACCGTCGAATATTGTTTGCGAGGGGCTGCCTCGCCTCGACCCGATGTACCACGTGTGGCGAGCCATAAAGGAAGGAGAAGAGTTCACTTGGGTATTTTATCACCTCTGATCCTCTCTAGTCGTGCCTCGGGACACTGCGAGGAGTCGACGCTCGGAAAACTTTT